TTTTCAGGGCCGAGTACAATAACCTCAGTTTGATCTGAATTTAAAAGCAGAAAGTTAGCGGACATCCAGGTCTTTATGTCTTTAAGGCATTCCTGCAGTTTAATTAATTGCTGTGTGTTATCTGGCTTCATGAATAGATAAAGTTGGGCGTCATCTGTATGCTATTCCTTCTGATGATACTGCCTAAGTCAGGGGTCTCGAACTCCAGTCCTCAAGGGCCGGTGTCCTGAAGGCGACTGTTGTTGTGATTTGGCGCTGTACGAACAATAGATGCACTAGAGGGGAAACAGCGGCACCGCCTCCAAAGCTGGAATGTTTTTACAGGTGGAAGTCATTCTTGTTTTTTTCCTCTACATCTTTTCTGACTGTCGTGAAACTTTTCCATGTGTCCCTGTTGCAACACACCTGAATACAATTAGTAGGTCATTAGCAAGACTCTATAGAACTTGACTGAATGCTGAGGTTGCTATTCAGCCATTTGATTCATGTTACAGCAGCTCATGAGTGAATGAACACTCTGCAATAAAAGTACTTTTAGAAATACATTTTTCCAAACACTTAAATTTACTTGTGTAGGGTTAGGGGTTGCCACTTCAGCATGCAGTCAAGTTCGTGAGTAAATCGCTTTGGCTGAGATTAAAGTTATAGTTTTAGTCATAGTTTTCACACAGCTGAGTAAACATGAAACAAAAAACTGATTAAACAGAAGTGTGAAATGGTAGAGGATTTACTCCAATGTCCTGTTATATATTAGCAAGCGAGGAGCAGATGGCTGAGTTTATTAAACTCCACCAAGACAGCTGGTGATGCAATTCTGAAGGCTAGACCATCCCATTTCACAGCCTCGCACTTCCAGCCTTCTCAGTCTTTGAAGGACCCGGCCCATGTAGAGCGCAAAGGCCGGGTCCTTCGAAGGATGCAGCCTAGGTTTTGGGACACAGCTACAGTGTACTTTCAAGAACAATTTCCCATCAAAAATCTCAATTTTCTGTATTATTTGCCTCCTTATTACGCACTACTCTACTGTTGTTTACAGCGCAGTGAGCCCCCGGTTTTTTGGGGGGTTTTTTTCCTCCAAAAATGACCTCAGACAAGAAAGCCTCATTTCTGCTGTTCAGTACTGAAGAAATTTAAACTTTTCAATTATGCCAAATTGCAAAACGCTTAGCTGTGTCTCTAATGAAACTGCTGTAACTTTTCTCTGTTTCACTTCAGCAGCATCAGGTAATGATCCTACATATAGCTGCCATCACCAGTGTGTGAATGTGTGCGTGAATGGGTGGATGACTGGATGTGTGAAGCGCTTCGGGGTCCTTAGGGACTAGTCAAACGCTGTACAAATGCAGACCATTTACCATTCATGGTTTTCTTCAGTTTTTGTTCTACTGTAGAATATTTTTAAGGATATCTCACTTATCTGCTATAAAAAGCCAGGCCAGGAAAATCTCCTCCATGTTTTTCTGTTTTATTACTTTGACACAAAGGCATCCGCTGTGATGCTCACACCCAGGGGCAATTCTAGGATCAGAGCTTTGGGGGTGCTGAGCACCCAGAGAGCTGCCCATCCAGGCAAGGTAAACTTTACTCGTCACGATGAGACTTCTTCCCTGTCTCTGTCAGTCCCTGCATCCTTAAATGTCTCCAGTTGTCCCGAGTTCCCTCTGACTGTGTCCTTGGTGCATTTAAACCCCTGTTTAATGTCTCAGTGTTCTTGCTCCTCAGTGCACGTTGTCCTCATCGTCTGTTGTCTTCAGCTCCATTATCAGTCATCATAATTTTACCCTCTCTGTGCAAGTCTGCAAATTTCTTTATTAAATCATAAGATTCTTAAATTCATCAAGTCTCTCTGTGCCTGGGTCCTCGTCACAAAACATGACATCATTGTTTTGTACATTTTAACACAATTTAATCCCCACATTTGTGAAAGAAAAGCAAAACACTTTTTTGAAAAGTCTGTAACAAAACCATAAAATCTGATAAAGATTATTTAAATGCTGCTAAAGACTACTACAGCTAAAAAAAAAAGAAAACATATCCTAACCTTAATTACTGCGGGAGAATAATGAATGATGCTCACAGTGAGTAAAAAGTAAACTGAGTGCATTTTTTGGACAGAGATTCACTTTTAATGTGTATGCATAATATAATACAGATACATAAAAATACACTCCAAAAATACAAGAGTCCTTGAAATGTACAAAATATTATTAAAAAATTGAGACACCTTGGCCTATGTAGGTATACTCCTAATACTCGCGATCAGTGAAGAATATGTTACTAGGGATGCACAGATACCGATACTGGTATCGGGTATCGGGGCCGATACTGTAAAATGTGTGTGTACTCATACTCGTAACTGCTGTCAAGTCACTGACAAGGTCCAGAAACTTACCCTGGATCCAGATGAAACCATGGTGTCCTTTGATGTAGTCTCTCTCTTCACGTGCATACCCAC